CAAAGCCAAAATGGGGAATGGGGAAAAGGACGGTCCTGTTCTGTCTTAACGTTAAACTTAGCTAGACTGACCCGAACATACAACAATATTCCTTACACCAAAACAACGCATTCTTACTTACCATTCTTACTTCAGCCACCATAATACCTCAGAATTTCCATGAAGTCCTAAGTGGCCCCCATATTTACAATTCATTGTCTGGGTGGGGAATAAAACAACAATTTAAACTCTAACTTCAATGTGTATTTACAATATGAAAACAAAACTATTTACATGAAACGAAACAAAATAATGTTAGTAATAAAACCCACAACAATCCTTAAATGTGACAGAAACATCAGTTAACTGGACGAAATCAATGCAGGACTATAATAATATAAAACATTCATTCATTCCTATAGTAAAGAGTTCATCCTAATAATTACAATGGAAATATTTTTATAGAAAAGACTTAGGGGATAACTTTTCAAGGTGGGAAATTGACTGAAGCCGAAATACCAGATCAGAGTCAATAATATTGCTGATACTTTTTGGGGATTTTTTTTCAAGGTTGGCACGAGCACCTGAACATATGTGGCAGCAATATTCTAAGCATGGACGAATGGTAAACATATAGATATGTAAGATAGATTCGGTAGTGAAAATCTGTCTGGTACGACACAGTGAACCAACTTTCTTAGCAGCTGGCGTAGCCTTTCCACTTCATATTAGCCGAGAACTTTAGCCTGAGAAGGTGCAATGAATCATTCATCTAGAGATTAGAACCGGCCATGCTGATAGAAAGTAGATATATATTCACATATATTATGAAATGCATTAAGTCCGACAGTTATTTCATCTATTGTTTGTTTTTCCTTTATTTTAATAGAAACATTTTATTTAAGGAAATGCTCTGTTTTTTTTTTAAATAAACATTATTAGTTACATTTACCGGCTCGAATGTATGAAACAAAAAAGAGCATTTAATTAAATAAATTGTATCTATTAAAATAACGTATAAACAGAAAATATATTCAATAATTATCGGATTTAATCCATTTCATAATATGTTGTCACTGTTTGCGTTAAGGTAAAAAAAAAAATGAGCGGATATGATCGCTCGGGAAAGATCGTCGAAGATTTGTTGTTTATAAACAGTAATTCGGAACCAGACGCTTTTTGTGGCTGAATGGTTAACAGCACATTAAATAAAATGATGCTTCCTTTTTGGGTTACAGGTTCGATTCCTGTTGAAGAAGCAGATATTTTCTGCGAAATTCCTCGGATTCAATACGTTAAATGTAATTATTACTGTTTATTTAAAAAAAAAAAAAAGCATATACTTCATTAAATTGTATCTATTAAAATGACGTATACACAGAAAATATATTAAATATTTACATAAATATATATTAAACATAGTAACACACATATATATATATATACTTTATTTCTCCCGTCGTATTCAACGTATGAAACAAAACCCAGTTGCTAGGAACCGACAACAGCACATGTGATTGATTAGTGGTGAAGGTTTTGTGCAGAACCACCCACACTTTTTGAAGGACCGAATACAGAGATTTGGTGCGCGCATATATATATATATATATATATATATATATATATATATATATATATATATATATATATATATATATAAATATATATATATCGGTTAAAAAACATATACGAGTATGCCGGTCTGCTAGAACGGCTATCTGATCCATTTTGCAGACGCCTACTCAGGCACATTGCTGTTTTTTCAGTACCCACAAAGATGGCCTTTGATTTATCCTGCTGCTATGCTGAGCGGACGTTAGTTACAATTTCTGGGAGAGAACACATAAACTGACGGGTTCAACAATTTGAACAAGGCCAGCACGATCAAACCCTCGGTCACGATGAACTGTGGACATCAGCCAAACTGTTACGTTTACACAATTTCATTCAGGAGGCTTCGGTCAATCTGTCGTATGGCTTTTCGTGCACTTTCTAAAGGTTCCACACTCTGACATAGTCTCCCCGATGCTTATATATACGAATAAGTTATACTTAGGCAGCAAGTATTCATCCAAACGGATTTAATTAAATAGAATTGACAAAGTTTCTCTTTCATTTTTCTTTTTTGGGATTGGATGCTGTAGAATATTTCAGTATTATCCACTATTTGCCTTATGCTGACAGTTTTATTTTGGTTGATCCTGCTGTGCTAGTCGATATGTGCACGAACTGCACTGAGATTTGATATGTGACAAGTTAATCTTCGAGAAAGTGTGGCGCATGTGTGCCCGATGCATGAATTTAAATACTGTTTTTTTATTATTAATAATATTACTATTGGTTACACATGAAGTGACAAGTAGGCTATTTGAAACTTTCAATATTTAATATCGGATGATTATTTTGTATGATAATACCTTCTACGGTTTTGAGTCTTTCCTGTATTGGGTGCTGTAAAGTATTTTGGTAGTATCCACTAATATTTATCTGATGTTGATAGTTTGATTTTGGCTGTTCGTGCCGTGCTAGTCGATATATGCACGAATTGCATTGAGATTTGGCAGGTGACAAGTTAATCTGCGAGTGATTGTGGTGCATGTGTACCCGATGTGAGAATTTGAATATTAATACTGGAGATCTCTGGGAGGTTCTTAATGTTTTACCATCATTCTTTCATTTGGTCGAAAGTCCTAATAGTATACAATAAATATATTTTTTTGTTTTTATTATCATTATTATTATTCTTGTTTTTATTGCTTGAATTTCTTTCATCGGCTTATTTTTATTGTCATAATTATTGTTGCTTTGTTGTTGAATTTCTTTCATCTTTCAGGAGATAAAAACAACAATAATAATAAAATATTCATTATATCTATGCACACACACACACACACACACACACACACACACACACACACACATATATATATATATATATATATATATATATATATATATATATATATCGTCGACTCTCCCGTCGATATTCGACGTATGAGGGTGGGGCAGATCAGTTCCCAGGGAACCGACAGCCCGACAACAGCACATGAGATTTGATTATAGTGGTGAAGATTTCGTGCAGGACCATCCACACTTTTTGAAGGGCCGAATACAGAGACCTGGTACACCACGTGCCACAAGGTCCCCAAACGACCCTCTGCAGGTTTTGAATTCTCCTAGACCAGTTGCCATCTAAGGCTATAGAACCCAGTCTGTTCTGTTATTTACCCATAACTGGAGGGAGAAGAGGAGGATCCATACCTTTCCCAGGTGTATTAGCACGTAAGTGAATGCAATGGGTTCGACTGGAATACATATATATATATATATATATATATAGATAGATATATATATATATAACAGAGAATGAATATCTATTATGTCTGATCATGAGCTGTTCTAATGTTCATATGTTTGCATTAAATTCGAGTGAAAATAAAGAAAAAATTGTCCAATATTTGTATATTTTTTATTAAGTTGGTCCTTGATCTATATCTATATTTAACAATATTTAAATAATGATCTTCTGTCCTAATACACCATATATATATATATATATATATATATATATATGTGTGTGTGTGTGTGTGTGTGTGTGTGTGTGTGTGTGTGTGTGTGTGTGTAAAGCGTTTTTCTAAATAATACTAATAAATTTAGATACATATGATGAAAAAGGCCCCAAACTTGATAAAACAGAATTTTGTCGTTTAAAAGTTCATGTTACTTAAGAACTTAATAAAACTTTCAGGACTTACTAACAAATGAATAAAATTATTTTTTAAACTATTTCTTTTAGAAAATCTAAGCAAAAATATATATATATATATTTTTTTACATCTTATTTTTATAAAATTGCGAGAAATTAAATTTTGATTGCAACATTTTTTTATTCGTCAAAAGCAGGACTCCTTGGAGAATGTCAATAAGAATGTATTATACCAACTAAATAGATTATATTTTTTGTACGTATGTACCTATATATTTGTCTGTACACAGGCGTGTGGGCGTGATTTGTTTACTTGACTCTTCCTGGATGTTTCCAGGTGTGTTCATTCTTTCTCATCTGAATATTTTCACCTGCGTTTGAGGTTCTCGCGCCGTACACAGACAATTAGTAAGATCTCTCCTCGACCCACGACCCAAAGGACGAAAAGAAAATTCTAAATGTAACCTGGAAATAAATGCTATCGTTAACACCGACGCCGGAAAAGTATTTCCGGTGTCTTATCATTATAACTGGTTCCATTTAAATAAAGCTGCAATCTGGATGACGTCATATGGAAATGTAACCTCAATCCAACTACAGCCGCATGCCGGGAAATTCAAATACCTTCATGGTATCATATTATAATTAGGTTTGCTTCTTTGTTAGCTAAGTTACTTAGCGAGTGCATTAAGCCCTGTCATTGTCTCAGATAAATAATAGACTATTCCATGTTGATTAGGAAGCAAGAAAAAGGTATATCAGAGACGCTGTTTGTTTTGCTGCGTGTAAAGGAAATCTTAAATAATAATGAAAGAAGTTGGCGGTGATAACGCTCTCATGTGTTTAACGTCTGCTTCAGTGAAATGGAAAGCTTTTCCAATTTTGAATCTTCTCCTTTGTGCCCTATTACTTCTTTGAACAATGAGTTGTATTCGTACAGATAATTGACATTGAAATATTTTGTTGAATTTGTTAAGCTTAAATATTTAACGGCATACGGCCACACCACGTTGGTGTTCAAGTCTACGCTGAACCGTTATCTTCCCCGTATATCGCATAAACTGTCACTTATTCCGTAACCCTCTACTTCGAATGGCCCTTGGGCCTTGTGCAGGGTGAACATCATTGTAAAAAAAAAGTATTTTCCTTCAGTAGTCTTTTGTTATCTCTCTCTATATATCTATCTCTATCTCTCTCTCTCTCTCTCTCTCTCTGACTTTGAAAATCCCGTTTAAATAAAAAAAAAAAATGAATAAATTTAGCCAGACGAATTATGGATCCTGTCCGATTAGTAAATGACTAAAGCTGTTGCAATTTGCGGCCATATCACGTTGAAACACCGGTTCTCATACGATCACCGAAGTTAAGCAACGTCGAGTCTGGTCAGTACCTAGATGGGTGGCCGCTTAGAAATGCCAGGAGCTGTAAATTCGGATGTGCGAGTGGTGTAATGGATAATGACTCGAAATTGTCAGTCGGAGAGCAGAGTTCCAATTCCAGTTGAGTTCGTTGATATTGACTTAAGTGCACATACTCTGGGGTAAATTATGAATCCTGGTCTATATTTTTTTTTATTTTCGCCTACCGGCCTGAATCTTCAAAAAAATGAAAAATAACGTTTAAAGTGGTAAAAAGGATCCATACACCCGAAGTATTTGGAGAAAACCCAGGCAATGACCAAAAGAATAAATTGTGAGATTTACATCTCTTTGTCTTAGTATATTTCAAGCTGTATTATAACTGCACAAGTTAATTAGTATTTGCCGGCATATTAGACGCACACACGCATTGAAAGCCTCCAGATATTGGCATGAAACATTTAGTGAAAAAATACACACATCACTACCAAAAAAAGAAAAAAATTCCAGATCGATTTCCAATACTGGAAAAACATTTACAGTATTAACACAAATCATACTACTGGTATTTTTTTTTTTTTTTATATATAGAAGATAGGTAAGGTTTAATTACCAGGACAGTTTTTGAAAAAGAAGAATTTTAGAGCATTTCACCCTGCATTTGTTGAAAATTGTAATAGTTGCTTTTCAATTTTGTTTGGTTTGTTTTACAGCGTATCAACCTCAATGAGTTATTAAATGCCAACAAGATTTTTATCACTGGTAATATTTTCGTTCAAAAATAGTATTATTGGTTTTTGTTTTTTTTAATGTATTGCTGTTTTTTTTGTTTTTTTTTGGTTTTTTTTTTTTAAAATATATTGCTGGTAATAATTTTTTTCTTCAAAAATTCATTGCTGGCAATAATTTTTTCCAAAAAAGCATTTCTGGTATTAAAACCTATTTTTACACTTTCATAGTGTTTTGACCCCAGTTTAGAGGGTTAACTATTTAGCCATAGGCTGGACCTGGGAACAACAGAAAATAAGAGGTGGTTTTACACTCCTCAAAACCTCCTGATCAGAGGCCTTGGTGACGGATGTAGTTTATTGTCACACCCAGGACGTAGTTGTCTTTCAGAGAGCAATATCTGCGTATACAGTAAATTCAAAATGGCTACAAAGAAATCTATTAGTATCAGTGAACATTGGTACATATGGTAATGGGCAAAAAACAGAAATATGGCACTTGTTGGTAAATGAAATCTCATATCATATATGCAGAAAAGCAAATTTCAGTATCTGTATATCAGCAAACACACACACAAATCAAGCAGGAATATGCCAGTCAAAGCAAATATTTCTATAAAATCTGGTATTTCTACAAAGCAAGCAGCAAAATATTGTGCCATTTTATAAATTTCTTTTTCTCGGGTGAATATTTTCAGGGATAATGTCAATGTTTGTTCACTTCCAGGAGTCTTAGTTTCAGATCTACGCTCTATGCGTGCACTGATACCTGGTAAAACCCCACTTTTTTCATGACCTTCATGTCCCTCCCATGCATCATAAGTACTGTATTGAACGGAGGGTAATTTTCTGAGGCCTTTTTTTTTTAAATCCGTATCTAACAGTGATTTTCTAAGCGTACCTTAGATGTGGCACAAGGTCGAATGTATGGGAAACCCAGTGAGGATCGAACTCACTACTCAGTCGTAATTGTTCTAGCAAGAGAAGCTTGCTAGCCGTTACACCGCCTTGGGGTGGCCAAATGATTTTCCAAGCGTACCTTAGATGTGGCACAAGGCCGAAAGTATGAGCCACTCAGTGAGGAGCGAACTCACTGCTCAGTCGTAACTGTTCTAGCGAGACAAGCTCGCTAGCCGTTACACCGCCTCGAGGTGCCGAATCCGCGTCTAACAGAACAGCAAATACTGCATTTTCCTTCAACTACATATTTTGTCACTGTTGTGTCGGAAACCTACCACCCCTCTTGAAGACGGCATGTAAGAGTCAGAGAGACAGAGAAGTTCTTAGCTGAGCTAGTTATTGACTACTCAGGCGATTTCTGTACCTTTTTACCAACCTATTAAACCCCTTTTTATTGTTACGTATTATTTGGCGTTTGTCTCTACTTAACCCCAAATCAACATCATAACAGTAACCAAATGTCATCTGCGTCAATGGAAAATTACAAAAACGTATTAGGTCAACTTGACCATTATTACGCAACATACTTGCAGGAAACTTGTTTGTTTTTTTTCTTTTTTTTTAAGCTCAGGTTAATACGTAATCGATGATGTTTCATATTTGATATCAGACTTGGAAATCGATCTGGAATTGAACAGGAATAAACGCCTTTCAGCGATAAGCTATGATTGCGTAATAAACTTGTTTTTCTTCTTTCTTTCTTTTTTTATCCGGACAGGTCATTCTAACCGGGACAATGTCATTGATCACACTTGATGGACAGTAATAGTAATAATGCTATTTGGCTCACATTCAGATGAGTAAAGTCAATGCAGATTTAACGCTTACAGTCGCGTAGTGCCTAGCAGATTGTCTCAGTGACAATTCTCGAGAGTATCTCGTTTTACAATGGCATTGTGCCAGACAAATCTATGCTTATTAAACAAGTAATCACCGAAGTTAAGCAACGCCGAGCCTGGACAGTACCTAGATGGGTGACCGCTTGGGAATATCAGGTGATGTAAGCTTGGATGTGATGTACTGGATAATGGCTCGAAATTATTAATCGAATCCGAGAGCCGAGTTTCAATTCCAGTGGGCTTCGTTATATTCACTAACGCTCAAATACCACCTATTCTCCTCCCAGCTATGGGTTAATTAGTAATACCTGTATCACTAAAATCATTATTATCTAAAAAAAAAAAAAAGACATTGTGTACAAATAATTAGATTTTGGCATAAAATAACCCATAGAGCTCGATATGTTACCAAACAAAATGAACCAACCAACAAAATTACAGTGTAACTCGGATATAAGAGACCCGGATATAAGAGAAACCCGGATATAAGAGAGATTTTCTCTGGTCCCAAATTAGAGCTTGTGTTAATGTATATAAAATAGACCAAACCCGGATATAAGAGAAACCCGGATATAAGAGACTTCTTCTCCGGTCCCGACAACTCTCTTGTATCCGGGTTACACTGTATTAAATAAGAGACTTTAAAAACGTTCCCATCACACTAATAAAAAAGAAACTTAAGGTTGAATCTCGCTCTCTTTATTTGTCGGCCTGTCGGTGTGGCAGACAGCATGCCCCCCACCCCTACCAAATGGTAAGAAAAGATAGACATTTTCTTTTATCAATTCACCGATAATTTAAACGCAAGGGACTACTGGGAATGAAAGAGAATGAGAAGACTTTAACAGGAATCGGAAACCTAATCTTAAACAGAAAACATGGGTTCAAACCTCTACTCCTGTTTAAAAGAAAAGGGTGGATTATAAACCCGACGATAGGTGAACCTATTTACTCCTGTTAAAGGAAAAATAAATAAATAAAAATAAAAAATTAAAATTAAATAAAGTTTCAGTATTTAGACTGAGACGTTAGAAGTATAGAGTTATAAACATTAGAAGAAATCAGAAATCCAATCCTAAAAAGGAAAGAAAGGATAAACCTGTACTTCTGTTCAAAAGAACGGGGAAGAGTGTGAACCGGACGATAGATGAACCTATCAACTCCCATTTAAACCTGTGGATATGTTCTGTTTGCGCTAGATTCAAATATATAGACAATTCTGTCTATATTTCTGAGATGAGGTATTATGTACACTATTTACATTATTCGGACTATTGTCCCCATCTTTGTCGCCATATTTATTACAAGATCAAATTGGCCAAAAAACGTGTTTTGTTTCTTGGCACTAAAAATCGTGTTGACCAGTGTTATCGCTCTTTCTTCTTCTTTTGACGTGGGTTTCTTTCCTAACCTTTTGTATAAAGTAGTGTGGAATATCAACATAATATGTCATTATTATCCTTTCTAGTTACATGTGCTATCGTTTTTAGTTGTCGCTGCTGTTGGAAGACTTCAAGTAATATTTTTGTCATTTGCTATTTTTGTTATTTCCCCAAGGACACATAGCACTGGATAAAGGCGTCAGTTAGATCCAGTGACAGGACCCAAAGAGTGTGAGTTCAATACCTGGTTAAGGTATTGGAGAAATTTCAGAAGGGGAATTAACAGGAGATAACTGGCATCCATTTGACATGGCACGTGGAACTAGAACAGTCTATTACAAGGTTTCGGCCGTTGTACGCTCCGGCTTTCTTCAGGTGGTTGGCACATGGCATAGTGGATAAAGGCGTTAGTTAGATCCAGTGACAGAATTCAAAAGTGTGTGAGTTCAATAACTGGTTAAGGCGGTGGAGAACTTGGAGACGGGAATTAAGCAGGAGATAACTGATAACTGACATCCATTAACCATGGCACGTGGAACTAGAACAGTTTACCCCAGTGAACGAAATAAAGGGTTCAGTTCGACATTCCAACCACCTGAAGAAGGCCAGAGCGTACAACGGCCGAAACGTTGTAATAAATATGGCGACAAAGATGAGGACAATAGTCCGAATAATGTAAATAGTGTATATAGAGAATTGTCTGGTTTATAACCGAGACTGTGAATATCGACCTTCAAAGTGATCACCTTTAGGATGTCTTAACCCTTCTGAAGGAGATTCAGTTCAAACTCCGCCATTTGGACAAAAATCGTTACATAGAAAACTTTTCGAATCTTACTGAACACATCGAAAAAATGTTTTCCTTGTTGGTTCTGTTACAGTTTTTTGTGTATATGTATATATGAATAGTGAGTCAGTGAAAATGACTTAACTCCCTTTATAGTACACCAATAGAAGGTTAAGCAATCAGAAGCCGCAGAACATTGTATCCGTCGTGTATAAAGGCGGCCATCTTTGTTTATCCTACCGGAATGACCAGTGCCAACTTGACAGGCGAAGATAACAGAAGGAAGAACTACGCTCTGCTACTTTGCTGCGATATCCACTGCGAATCTGAACTACGCTTTCCTACTGTCTGCGAAATATTCACTGCTAACCTCT